TGTTTGATATTTGAATTTGATATTTGGGTTTGAAACTAGAGGTAATAGATTTATGTTGTTGTACTCATGTGATCCACTTCATAACTTTGTTAAAAATCTGAAATTAGGGAAAAAGTAAGGAGAATGATTTGTTTTAATCAATCATGACCAATCTCACATGTAAAGTGTTGATTATGAACGAAAAACAAAAATTTTAAAAGAAGAAAGATGATATTTGGAGAGGGAACTGAAAAAAATTGATTAGGGTTTTTTTTGCACGGGAAGAGTGATGTGGAGGATGTTATTAAGTCCATCTAAGTGGCTTAACACATGGAATATCCATGTCAGATGTTTCTGTTAATTAATGTGATAAATCAACAAAAATTTAATGAAGGGACCAAAAAGAGGTTAGATTTAAATTTTAAAGACTAAAAAAGGGATTTTTTCAATACAAGGATAAACAAAATGGCTTTTTTCAATAGTAGAGGGACCAAAAGGGTATTTAACCAACTTAAAATTTCAATTTTCATTCAAAATATTATTACCAAATTATTTAAATCATTGTTTATATATGGTATAGTTTATTTTCTTACTTATAAACTCATTTGACCATTAACCCATGATTTAACCCAATCCCACCCAACCGTTATGTATTTATAGTCCAACAAACCGAGTAGGATAACAACTAACAGCTGGCTGAGAGAGATTTAGCGTGAGACACCTCTTATAATAGGCCACTTACATCTAATCTAATTAAAAATGGAAAGAAGATTACCTAATTTTCTGAAAAATTCAGCACCGGCTTCTTGTGCACAGGTGCCATGTATATATACCAAAAAAAATTGAAGCGCATTGCCTCGATGTAGGACTATGATTCCTGTTATGTCATTAATTGACGACGCCTCCCCAGTCTTAGTCTGCATCTGCCAACGGCCAACCCTCTCCATTCGTCCGTCTCCTTCCCAGAAGGTACGTTTACTACTGCAAATTAAATTAAGCACCTATTCTGTCTTCCTCAAGGATCTTCTATTAAGGACGTTGTCTTTAATTTGTAGTACTACTGGTATATAGTGTATGTTAAATTCCGACAGTCATTGATTTTAATTATTAACCTGCTGCCACTTCTGCCCCTTTTGTATAAACCAAAGGAGAAAAAAAAGAGGGGGTGGGGCAACACTCGAGGTCTGCCTTTGATCAAAGGGAAACACAAAGGGGAATTTTGTGGGGAGCTAGCTGCATGTGTATGTATTTTTTAAATTTTCATCACAGCCAACAAATTTGAGAGACCATTAGCTAAATCTTAAGTGGAAAATAAGAACAACTTATATGCCATGCCTATTTTAGGTTTTACATATATATATGTGCAGTTTCAGCCTCCAATGGTGCTTAAATTCAACTTGAATAATGAATGCAATTATGCTCAATAAAGGCGTATATATATGCAGGACTCTTAATGTTACAGACCATTATTATATGCAATGTTAAGATGTATATATATCTAAATAAAGGAGAGAGAGAGGCTTGCCTGTAAAGGGATCACAATTATATGATGTCTCATTGAAGCTATATGATAGGTAATTAAGATATAAGGTCACCTTGTTCGTGCAAGATAGGAAACAATGATATATAACTCAATAGGTAATAAATCAAGCGGCAAAAAGTCCATGAACTCAAATGGTAAAGAGAGAACACACACACACACACACACACACATATATATATGTAGTCTGAGGCATCGGTAGATGAAGATCACTAGTATGTAGAGTATATACACTATATGCACCAAATATACAAAACTGTGAAAATGAAAACTATGAAAGAAATTGTATATACTTATCAAAACCTGGAAATGAAAGAAATTGTTTTTGGCTGTTCATCATAGACAAATTTATTGACTAGAAAGAGTTTTTTTTGTGCTAAATAATTTGCTGTGCTTGGCAAATATGAATTCAATATGAATTGTTTGTTTTTGTCTTTTGTAATTGATTTCTAACAACAATTTGAGAAAAAACGAGAGACTTCAGGGTACCAAAAATAAGACAACTTTACCAGCTAGCCTGTCTTCTGTGCTATATTAATAATGCACATCTTCCTCTTCCTTCTAGAGGAAAGGTTCTTCCTAAGACGTTGTCAAAACTTACATATGTCCTCGGTCCTCCATCATCATTTAAAAGCCTTAAGAGCAAAATGTACGATGTTCCAATGTAATAATATTTATGCATGCTCTGTTGTAATTCATGTCTCACATTTTAAATATACAGATTAAATTGATCAAGCTGAAAGTAACTACCTCGTGCTCTAATTTATGAAGTCTATACATGATTTGAATTTTGCATGCCAGTGCCAGCATGCAGTAATCTTAGTCTAGTTAAACGCAAGATTTCAGGTGTAAAAAAAAAAACCTAATTGGCCAATGTACATATATATATCAGATCATTATATAAGACATTCATAGGCAATCTATATATTGGTCCTATTAATTATTTCTGATCTATGTATAGCATAGGGCTTTAACTTGTGATTTAGGTATGTAAATTCAGTTTGTTTACCATTGCAGTCCTTCAGCAGACCTAGAAAATGAACAATATTTATCAGCAGCCCAAGAAATAAAATTTTGAGCAGAGGAGTTATATATATAGAGATTGCCAGACAAAGTATACATTAATTCATTCATCAATATTAGAGCTAGCTAGTTCATATATAGGACAATATAAAGCTAGTATACATAGATCAGTGTTAAGACTTCAGCTAGGTTTAAAAACAAGAAACAAGTTTCACTGCTAAATACGGAAAGTATATATGTGCATCCTTCAGGACTTAACATCACATTTTATACGATCAAAATGATTAATGTCCTTAAGTATATGTCCGTTCATTTTTAGCCCAAATAAAATATCTGTTATCTATGACAGTTACTGATATTTAGAGCTAAAGGTTGAGATTACCGGAATGAAATTGAATTACATACTATCTGGAGTTTGTACTGACTGTATGAATTGCCCCTTTATTGCAAAATAGTATTCTGGCCATTCAAACACCTTTGTTGTGTCGAAATCTGTCAAATGCTAGCATTCCAGCAACTTAATCAAGTCACCTGCAAACATACTATTTCTCCAAGATCTCTAATAAATAAAATGTCTCCATGATATGGACCATGAAATAAAATCTTATAAAGGAAGTAATTACTGATAGCAACTGTAGAAGTACTGAAAATTAAATATTTTTGAAATTAGTGGTGTATTTCTTAATTTACATTTTTGCCACTCCAATTTAAATTTATACTGCATATATGTGGAATATTTCTAGTGATCAAAAACATGTCAAAAGAGCATATTAAAATTATTGTCCCTTGAAGTTATTTGACTTGCACTATTAGAAAGACTATTGCAAATAAGATATAAGGGTAAGAGTATCCTTTATACTCTATAATAAAGGCATTTTTCTTTGCTAATCCAAAATAAATAAATAAATAAATACCGCCATTTTTCATTTTTGAGCTCTTCTTTTCATCTAATAAATTTTCAACCTCTAGATATCATGACATAATTACAACTAATACTATGTAACATGAGAAATGCCATATCCTCTCATATATATAGTACAAGGTCCAGATGGATTTTCTTGATGTTTAGTACTGTTTTTATTTATTTATTAAAATCAATGGAAACTATGCAAAGTAAAATTAGTATGAAGAAATAATATATATGTTATTACCATAATTAATGAGATATGTATTTAGTAACCTATATAAAAAAAACAAAAACTCAATTCAAATTCTTATAAACTTCAGACAAGAAATACAATAATTCTCAAATTCATTAAACAGTTAAACAAAGGATTTGCCACACAGAAAGCTGAAAGATATATATGGCCAACAATTCTTTTTTCTTCACCATGATCGATCCTTACTAGCAAGATATCAAACCACACTTCAATAAAAATTGCAGTGTTTGTTGGCAAAAAGGTGGTTGCTGCAGAACTGATGATTTTCTTGAAAATGAGAATGCAAACCAATATTTGAGCTAGAAACTAGAACTGAAGTAGGGTTCCCTTCATGGACATTTGAAGGGGTCTCAAAGATGGAATTAGGGTTTAGTTCTTCTGAGTGGAACATGAAGACTGTACTAGGGTTTTGTTCTTGGGTGTTTGAGTTGGCCATGAAATTAGTACTAGGGCTTTGTACTTGGATTACATTACCTGATGATCCTTCTCCCTTCATGTTTGTCATTGCAGAATAACTATATTGCATGTGATCACTGTTCATGCTCCAATTTCCAGTAAAAACCGGATAAATTTCCTCTGAATTTCCTCCAGTACTTAAGTTCACCACTGATGAAGATGTTGGAGCACTTGTATTAATCCCCAGAAATTTCTCAATGAAGTTAACAGAATCCATTTGATGCTCTGGTATGGGAACCATGGGAACCCTGTGGTGTTGCTCATCTTCTTCCTCAACTACCGCCTTCCAAGTTGAATTTGTTTGGCTAGAAGCTCCAAAATTTTCACCACTTTCATGAGGGCTAGAAGACTGAACAAGTTGAACATCATCGAGTTTTATCTTCATTTTCTCTCTTGTTCTCTCCCTAGCCCTTGCTCTTGCCTTCTCTCTTGATTCCTTTGGAACTGGAATATTTATTGAAGCTTTAAGCGATGATTTCCTTTCCTTTTTCTGCTTTCCCTTCTGCTCTCTGCCTTCTTCAGTCTCCTTTGCTACTGACACAACTTCACTCTCCGAGGTAGACGACACAGTCTTCCCAGCCCCGCTACAACTTTCCTTCACTCTTGGAAAACTGTCCGTAAGTTCGTTGATTGCCACGTTTGACTTGGAAAACAGCCACTCTATAGTTTTACTTGCTTTGTCAAACCCCAACATGTCCTGCAGGTCAAAGAACTTCCGGGCAATTTGAAGGGACAACCTCATTCGCCGGTCTCTCGGTCCCTGAGACGTATAGATCTTGCTATGCCTGTCCTTCTTCCCAGTCCTCTTCCGTGGAAGAACCGCCTTGGCTCCACTACCGTCGGCACTACTTCTCTTCTTCCTAACAGCAACCTTCTTATTATTCGTTTCCTTAGTCGGAAGATTAGGTCCCCCATTGCTACTAGACACCAAGATTGGCTCTTCTGACAAAAGCTGACTCATGAGAATTTCATCAGCATCATCATCAAGAAATGGCACTGGAAAGTGAAAGAATGGTGAAGAGGTTTGATCTTCCGGTGTCGAGTTAGGGTTTCCGGTCATGTTCTGGTTGACAATGAAGTGAAAAGGGTTGTAGCTGTTGTTGGAAGAAGAAAACATGGTGATATTTTTGATGGTGTTATGGAGCAACTTTACCCTCGAGAAGGTAAGTATATATGAAGAGTTCCACAGCTTAATCTTCCTTTCCCTCTATATCCATCTTTCTTTCTTTTTTCTTTTTTTGTGTTTTGGAATTGTAGAAATTAAATGAGTGGATAGGAAATTGAGATAAGTTTGTGGGAAGCATAATAAGATATGCGGTTAAAGTGATATGAATTAAGCGACAGCACCTATTGCAACACTTCACGTGGGTGCAGGCGTTGGTCGATAGCAACATCTCTAGCTAATTTCTTTCTTTTTAGGTGTTTTATCAATACAGTGTGTCAAGAATTACAGAGAAGCTGAGACCTGATATATGCAGTAGACATGGGCATGGTCACCTCTCTACAACACCTACATAGAAAAAGGTGGAAGAGAAGGACAATAATTAATTTTTATTGCAATTCCATTTAAAGGGGCAAAGGGCAAAGGTTCCTTGACCGAGGACCAGACCAGAGGTCGCTTTCCTTGCTTCTTCTTTTGTTTGTTTGGTTTTTTTTTTTTTTTTCTCCCTAACATGCTTGATATATTTATTAGTCCTAATTAACCATTCTCAAAAAGGCCAGAAGAAGTTACTCTCTCTGGTTTGTTAGGCAATGCACGTATTTTTAAATAATATTTTTTTACATATAAAAAAATTTTAAATTTATTATTTATATGTAAAAGATATAATATTATCTAAATATAAATGCACCATAAAACTAAAACAACTTTAAAAAACATAGGGAGTATACATTTTGTCAGCACAAGAAGTAATATGCTTTATAACTCCAGCAACTGTTTTGCATCTGTGGTGAATGGTCAGTCCTAAGCGTCTGAGTCTGCCTTTGTTTACTCAGAAAGCTACGCTGAGAAGGTCAAATATTGCGGGAAAATTAACAAGGACCTTACTTTTCTTATTTTTCTGGCTACCTATGACTGTCATGAGATGAGACATTCACTAGCTTCCTTTTTATTTTTATTTTTTTTCATTTTTTTTATTTTTTGGGGTATTCATCATGAGTATTAACTTTTTTTTTTCTTTTTTCTTTTTTCTTTTTTTTAAGTACGACCAAATAGACGTTAATTCAGTCCTGCGCCTAAAATAAGTGTCAAACCATGTCAAGCTACTTACCTTGAGAAGGGGTTGCTTTAATTTGAAAACTTTTAGCTTTGAATTCCCAGCTCCAAATACCAAAAATTGGTTTTTTTTAATAAAATAATAAAAAATAAATATTTTATTTTACCATTTAAATTATATCATTAAATCATAAATTATAAATTATAAAATAAAAAATAAAACTTTTAATATCAAAAATTATTTTTATCTAATAATTCAAACTATATAATCTAAAATAATTTAAACTACATAATACATTTTTAATAAAAAAAATATAAGTAAAAGCATGTAAAAAAGCTGCTTCCCATTATTTCAAAGGTTTATTAACCCATTAATTTTTAAAAAAGTGTCTACTTTTGCCCTATTAATTTTTTTCCACTATGGACTTGTCCGCATTAATTAATGTACCATACACCATCACAACTACGGTCAAATTATTCACTTACGTTTTCCTTGTGATTGATCTCTAGCTAGAATAATTATTTTAGCCTACAATGATAGGTTTCATGTACATATTAACTTATTTTATAGTATAAGATGCCTGTAGATTAATTTATATATATTTTAAAATTAATAATGTTTTATGCACTTTTAAAATTGCATTCCTTACAATAGCATAACACATTCAAAAAAATTAAAATTTTTTAACAATTAATTTCAATATTTGAATCTTAAACTTAATATTTAAGATGACATTTACTTTACTAATGAATCTAGCCTTGCTGCAAGTGATATTCATTTACTTTATGTTTTCGTCCTCCTTGATTTTCTAGCAAACATTAAGGTTGTGGACAATCAAAAAAATTTTAAGGTTGTGTTCGGTTTAAGTTTATACATCTCAATATTACACTAGTCCTAAATGCAGGATGAAATTGACATTTTCTTCCTTTATATAATTTTCAATGAATAATATTTTCTTCTATTGGAATCCAGTTGGCAATTTTTTTTTCAACTTTTCTATTGTCATCTTTTTTTTTAACAAATATGAAAAAAAATTAACAATTATGAAAATTGCAAACTTTATTACTTTTTTAAGTAAAAAAAAAAACAAAGGAAAAAGGACACCTTCGAAACCCAACATAAAAATCTAATAGCAATCAAGATTATTCCTACATGACATTCCGATTTTTTCATCGAGAAGTGAATATCACGGAAGGGATACTTTTTTTCCTTTTTTCTTTTAAAGGAAAGGATACTCACTCCAAAACTTTGGTACCCACTTTGAGAATGCTGTAATTTCTATTTATCTTTTACATATATAAGCATTGACTTAGAAAAGGTTGATATTTCAACAAATTGCACAGACTGAAATATTTAAATGTGTTTTCCATTCTGAGGGTCTATTCACGGCTGGGGTTACAACCACGCAAAATTGTTTCCAAAAAGCTGAACAGATAAATACACATGATGCAGCATAAGATTAAAATCAAATGCATAATATATGATGGCCTCCCCACACAAATTATGAAGTATGAAGGGTAATTGAATATGACCCAACAGAAGATGGAAACAACCTGAAATTTCTACCTCTCATCATTTTGTGATTGCAATTATTTTTCACACATATATATCTGGACATATGCATGCTGTGCATTAGAGTTTTTACTTGTATATGTCTGTCCAATAGGGTGCCTTTAACCCTTTTATTGGGGGTTTGGCCTCTTATTGGATGACCAAAAGAATCTACTGTACAGTTCTTGCTTAATTCGTTTGTATCCACTATCCACCGATAAAAAATGACAATTATCCACATACAAATTGACAAACCAACCGCTATGAATTAATTTTTAATAGGTTTAGAAAGGAAAATTGTGAGTTATCTCATCATAGTACCTAGAGTCTTATCTCATCATAATAAAATCTCGCAATAACTTTATGCATAACACTAAAATTGTGAGTTACATTATGTATACTAGAAAATCTTATTTTATAATCAAAATTATATTAAATTGTAAAATAGAGATTAGTGAATATGGGTAAACGCTAATATCTAAGAGCCTAACCTCTAACTAATAATCAATATTGTACAATTCAAAATAATCTAGACTATATATTACTTTTTCCTATATACAAACTATAAGAAATTTATAGTACTACATTTAACAAAATTCAAACTGAAAAACTCAAGCTCAAGGTTTTAGAACCTCTATTTTACCATTATGTCAAGAATTTGTTGACAAATTCCTTTGATTCTAAAACTATCTTTTGATATACTCTATTGCCAAACATTTTCTTGAAGTTTCCAAAGTGTTCTACATTTCAATTTTGAACCTGAAACTGAAGAGGACGTTCTATAAATTAGTCATCACAAGAGCATTAATTTCCATGTGGTAGAATTGCACTTACAAACCGCAAAATTGCCCAATATCTCTATCAGGCTTCTGTATATCCGGTTATCCATAATCCATTTCAACATCCCCAGAAAAGTTATCCACAATCCATATTTGTTTTCTCTATAGGGTCTGTGGCCCAAAAAGAGGTGGGTTGGGTTAAGGTCCAAATTTGACCTATTACCCATTAAACAATACCCAGCCCAATTTTAATTTCATATTTAAAATTTTCATTCCTAGCCCAACTTACATTTGCACATCAACTGCAGATGAAAAAATATATATATATATATATTTATATATATATTTGCACATCAACACTTTATAATATGTCTCATCCATAAAAAAAGAAAAAAAAAAAAAAGGTTGCCTTGGGTTCATCAGTCATTACGATAGAAAGAACAATAAAATAGGTTCCACTATCTCAAGCGACCTAAAAACTCTTTAGCAATCTCTCTCGAGAGACCATTAAAAATTTTATGTTTAGATTAAACGATATACAGATAAATTAATAAATAAACAAATAATGCTTTCATTGGATTGTCAAACCAATATCAAAAGAAGAAATTAAAAAAACAAAAAGAAGTCGGCTTTCAGTCCAGGGAAAAGCATCTTGGTCATGGAACTGAATGCACTGAAGTTACATCCCATTGCAATGATTACACTGAAAGTAATTATTTTTTAGCAAAAACTGAAATGATATATAATGAGTGATAATCTAACCATCAATCCAAATGCTGTGATTAAGATGAGTGATCAAACAATCCAAAACGAAAGACAGAAGAGTCCATGTTTCCCTTTGGGACTGTCTCTACTCACATGCTCAATTCATGACCAGTAAGTCACAACAACGTTTTCAAACTCCTTTTTAATGGAACTTTACAAATCACAAATATTAAATAGTTGAAATCTCAATTTGATCATTAAATTATTGTATAGATCTTTGATTTGATTCTTAAATTAAAAAAAAATCTTTGATTTGATCCTTAAACTATTATACAGACTCTTGATTTAGTTTTTATTGTTTACTAATTTAATTTTAAATTGGTCATTCCATATAAAAAACAGTTAATGTATCCGTTGCTTAACAGTAAAAAATAATAACTTAAAAAACATGTCATATTAATAACGAAATACGTTAGTTATTTTTTGTGCGAAAGAATCAATTTATGATAAATTAATAAACAGTAAAACCAAATCGAGAATTCATATAATAGTTTAAGAACCAAATCAAAAATTTTTTTAATTTAAGGATCAAATTAAGAATTCATACAATAATTTAAGGACCAAAATGAGAATTTTACCATATTGAATTAACCCCACAAAGGGCCAATGTTAGCGTACCCTTACTACTATTCTTTTCATAAAATTTTTTATTAAATAAAAATATTCAGAAAGAATTTTTTATTAAAAATTATAATTATTATTCTTATAAATTATTAAAATTTTATTTAAAATTCATATTTTAAAAAATTAAAAAAA